ATGCAGGAATTTTTTTGAAGGATTCTGTAACCTTATTTGGCAGAACAAGCACTTCCCAGCTAAACCAGAGGGAGGCAGTAAAGACTATTCACAGCTTCAGCAACCACGCAAAGAAGTGCAGAAGTAATATACTGAAGACAAACCACCCCATAAGCACTACCCTTTTTTGAGTGTCACTCCCAATTAAGTCACACTCGAAGCCTTGATTGAAGGTGGGGGTTATAAATCAGAACGGGATGGTCTCTTCAGTAAAGAGGTTATTGCTATGGCAACCCTGGGATGCTCCATGTGCATGGCTGTGGCACAGGTTGACATGAAATCAAACATTTGCCCTTCTCAAAACAAATGTATACAGTCAAATAAAACTATTTCCAAGATGACCTCCCTGTTAAAAATTAATGATGTGTTTTACCTGATTTGTGATTTTCTGTCAGTATAATGAAGATGCAGTAGACCAGCGGAACTTACATTTGGATGCACTCGTTTCTTCCACCATTACATTGCAGTAACACCCGCTTCCAAATATCCAGTGAGCCTGCAGGGATGCAGATAGGCTATTTAAGGGCTGAATGGTCCACTCACCCTACCCACTACAGGGTTTGGGACGGTCCTTAATGTGGTGAACCCTTTGGGCAAATAAAGGGCTAGTGCTTAGGGGCCTGGTTGGGATTCGGCCTAAAACACAGAATAGGTGAGCCATTCCTCGCACAAAGTATCAATCTCCTGATCAAACAAGAACGGGTGAATGAAGAAGGTGAGAGCAGAACAGACACCAGAGGCTTTAAAGTCATGTTGGGACTTATTTATAAACTTATTTTCATAAGTTTCATGGAAATTGTTAATAAAGGTGCACATCATGCCAAGGAACAATTCACTTTGCTATCATTTGGTAAGTGAGGTTAAACTATAGGTGTAAGTCACAAAATGTGCTGCTTGGTGGAAGTCTGCGCTCTCAGAGTGGTTGTTAGTTTCTACGGTTTTGTTTTTTCCATATAAAGTCGATTAACTTGGATTTTCCACTCGTTTGCAGTCCAGACCATGTGGGTGGAAGAACCTACGGTTGTCAGAGTAGAACTTCAGGTTTATTTCGGATTAGTTTCTGGAGGCAGAGAGGCCCGCAAGGTCCAAACCTGGGCTTTCTGATACATTTCTCATCTTTAGACAAAGATGAAGAGTTGTGGAGCTCAAAGGGTGTTGAATGCTAAACTTGGACTCTTTCTTTTGGTGTTCATGAGAAAAAGAAATCCACAGACTGTCTTTACTGTAGTTTAATAGCTTAAGAATAAACACTTTAATTAAAACACTGATAACAGGCAGTTGACACGAATTGAAATATTAAACCAAAGCGCCACCAAGGGATCAGAAATCGAAATCCAAAAACACTTTTGACATAAGTGTGGGGACTGCTATGTCATTTTGATGGCCAGTTACCATTTGTTTAAATTACTTTGGTCAATTAAATTTTAGGTTTTCCTTTAGTGTAGCCTTTGGTTAAAGATTTAATTCGTCCACTTCGGTTATCAAAAATCAAAACATTTGAAACTGTTATCACAAGCAGAGCATCACATTTCCAAATGCATTCAATAAGAAATAAAACAGAACATGAAGAATTTAAGGCTAAGTGCTTTACAGATCTAAAATAAAAACTTTAAGAAACTCTTCTTTAGTTTGATTTTCAAAAATCCATTTTTTTTAAATGTACCTTCTGAGGCTGCACTGAGTGATTCTGACCGCCAGGGGGCAGCAGACTAAACCCTCTGTTTATTAAACATCAGGCCTTTTCCTAAAAAACAGCGGAGCATCATCTTGATAAGTTCAAACTCCCAAACGAGAACATTTTCAACATTTTACACCAACATTTGATCTGTGATATACAACAGTCAGGAAGCACAGCTTTTAGAACAAAGTAAAGCAGAGCGCTGTATCAAAAATATGTCTGATAACCTCAGACATGTAAGGATAAAAACTTTTTGGCACTTCAATAAAAATCTTTTCTGTCAGCTCTTCAGGCTGTGGATTAACTGGAATGATTTTAAGAAAAAGTTCATCCCTGGTTCTGAATTTTCCCAAATCCTTGATCTCCCTGCAGGCTGTGGCTGACCTGAGCTGCTGCTGAAACAGAGGCTCAGCTTTTCTCTGCGTTATTTTAGTTCTCAGCGTGATTCCTAATTCAAACTGGATTAAATCATGTTTAATAAAGTTCTACAGTACATGTAGTTGTTTTTACATTACTTGGTCAGGGTTTTGTGCGACATTTCAAAGCAACTATTGCCCAAGTGCTATAAACACCTCCAGTTTGTTTTTTCTACTATATAAAAAAAAATTCACATGGTGGTGAGATTATTTTTAAATGCATAAATTAAAACCTAAAGTGCTACATATGGCGACATCTCAAAATAAAATGCTGTGAAGTGAAAAGCTTCATATGAGGAAAAAAAATCAACCACAGAATCCAATATTTTTCCTTAAAATTGTCCTTATTTTAAGAAATTGTTCCCTTTTTCAAAGTGAAATGTAAAAGGTAGCTTTATTAACAGTTCTGCAGCCATGAAGGCTTTGTCACCTGCACTTTATGTTTTAATAATGTTCAGTTTATAATCCTAAGAACCTGTGTGTACAGGAGAAAAAAAAACCCTTTGGGGTTTAATACTGAAATACATTATTTTCATAATAAAAGCTTGTCAACAAGTGAGAATTTCACAACAAAAGTATTAAACAGAATCTTTCTACATTTTCTCAAAATGTAATTTTTTTTGCCAGTGTATACTCTATCATTGGGTTCAATCTGTTTAACATTTATAAAGCATTCTGTGCTTCAACATCTGACTCCTCTTTCTAACCTGTTTGTCATTACTTTTACTTTTAAAACATATTGTTTTCACTTATAGACCTTTAAGTGGTAAAATGTGTTATTATTTAATCTGGTTAGTTTTTTTCTACCACAAAGACAAAGGAAAGAGGATTGGTTTCAAAATAAAAGCTTTGACTTTGAGGACCTGATCTGCTAGAACAGATTCCTCTAAATAGTATCTTTTTTTAAAAGTATCTATTTTTGAAATGATTTAATATATTATTTCATAATATTTTTACAATTATTTTTGGAGGAGTTAAGCTATTTAAAGCTCCCTGTGTTTCACTTTATACTAAATTGAAATGCAAAGCTTACAGAAGTATTGCTTTCATTTGACTCCCTGTTTCCATGCAATAAAAACAGGATTAGATCATTTGAAATATTTCTCAGGGTCTGTAAAGGGAAACAACTGGCACAAATTAAGCTTTGTGAAGGAGTTGGAACCCAAAGCTGAAAAAAAAACCTGACCTGGTTAAAATAAAACGTAGTCAACAGACTACATTCATTATTTCTCACTATATGTCAGCCCTGAAATTTGAGGCTGGTCGGTTTATTGCTTTGCTTTCACCTTGCATCCTTTTTATTTGAACAGATTCATAATATTAGCCTTTAGCTGCTGCTGGCTGATTCAAAGGCACAAAGGATTCCTTTTTTCATGCTCCATCTGAAGATGTTGTGTGAAAGATACTGGAGGAGCTTTTAAAACCTTCAGTAAACCAGCAGTAAATCATGATCACACCTCCTGCAGAATTCCAGCTGATTTTTGTACATTTAGACATACAAAAAAAAGAAACACACCTTTTTTGTCCTTCAAACTTTAACCTGTTTTCCGGACATTAAAAGTCTGTTTGTTCACTTTAAAAAGGAAGTTTATCACTTTGTCCAGATAGGATTAAGTTTCTGATTCAGTTTTCCCAGCTTTATATGCTGCTAAGCTAAGCTAATGTTTAAAAACATTCAAACATTTGAGCTCCTTCAGAAATTTAAAACCAAAAATGGAGAAATCCAAACATGATTTTCTAGAGAACCTGATTATTAAAGTCTGAGGGCTTTTTCATTTTGCTGTCCCCCATCTCTTACCATTTATTCATCCATTTAAGATTTTTTTTTAATAAAATGAATCCTTGTTTGGCTTTAAAATCCCTCCAAAGCTCAGAACATGTTGACCTTACTGTCCAACCTGACTACAAACTCTAAGTGACACACCAACAGACAGCTTTCTCTTTTGTCCTCGTTTCTGGAGGTGATGGAGATTTTGTCTCACTCGTTTCTGGAGGTGATGTCCTGGAACAGAAGCAGCAATATTTTAAATCATGCTGGTTATTTTATCTCCAGAGGTTAAAAACAATCAAACGAGACTCACCTCCGTCTTCGCTTTCCTCCACTCACCCATTGGTCCAGACTTTGTCACAACTGAAAGGAGAAAAAAAACCTAACATTTACTAATACATGTATACTAATGCATTAATGGTATCAATACATTTAATAATTTAAACTCACACACACATTATATATTCATCTTTATTAAGTTGATATATGTATTATTCTTTATAATTCAATGTATTTATTAATTCATTTTATTTCAATCTCCTCATTTGTTATATTATGTTTATATTTTGCTGTCAGGTTTATTATTTAAATGTTTATCTAATTTGTTCTCACTTTATTAAGAGTTTTTTTCCCCCACACATTTTAAATAAAAGTTTTAGTATTTTTAGTTAAATCTTTTACATAATATCTCAGTTTAGTTTTTCTTTTCTTGCTGTGTATTTTTATATAAATATATTTTATAATCATTAACTATTGAATCTTATTTAAGTTAAACTGCTTTCCAGGTTTATCTGTAAGGTCATCATCAGATGTCATACTCACACATCACTGCTGACATCATAGCAAACATGGCCGACGTCACGGCTGCGCTCCACCAGAAACACCTGCAGGAAGAAGACATTTTAACCCTCTTCATCCTTTTATCTGTTTTTCCTCGGGTCAGTAAATGCATCATGAAGCGTCACCATAAAACCAACCAGTAAAAAATCTCACCCTGAGCAGAGGCCACTGAGGATGAAGATGATGAAGAGGATGAGGAGGAGAGCCTTCATCGTTAGACCTGGAATACATAAAGTTTTTAGAAATAAAGTCGAAGTGGTTTAGGTTTAAAGTCCTGCTTCAAACATCCTAAGTTTCACAGCGGGAGGAACCAGAACCTTTGGTTCCACAGCTGCTGGTTCTGATCAAACACAAGATTCCTTGTCAGGATGTGAAGGGTTGACCCGGCTCACCTGTGGGCTCAGGTGACGTCTGACAGCAGCAGCTGTAGATAGCAGGAGGGGGCGGGACTTCAGAGAGGCTGCCCAGTGATTGGGTGAGGCGCTCCTTGGACTGACAGATCTCGGAGCAGATCTCCTCCTGGATTAGGAGCTTCCGAGGAGCTTCTTTGTCCGGAGGAGGTGGAGCTTCCGTGGGATCTGGACCAAGAGGAGCACTCGTGTGATGCTTATGGAGACGTTTAGGATCACAACATCAGATCAGAAACTTTCTGCCGACTCACCGTACGTGAAACTCTGGCTGTCGTCCAGCTCGGTGCTGTTCAGTCCAGACCACAGAGACTTGTCCAGAGGAGACGACCCCTCCTGGCTGATCTGGGGCCAGTCGAGGTCCAGATCCTGATCCAGATCCAGGTTCTGTCTGTGTCCGGTTCCCAACATCCCTCTGAAGACTTTCTGGTCCAGCCATGAATGGCAGCTCTCTGTGACATCACTCAGCAGAGAAACCAGAGACCTGCGGGGTCTCCGCCTGCGTCTAAAGACTCTGAGGACACAAAGAGAGGCTGCAATCACTTCTGGTTCTTTATCTGGATCTGCTCTCAGGAGGTCATGTTGCTTAGCAATGTTTAACAGTTAAAAGTCTGGAAACATGAAACTTTAGCTGAGCTTCTTTGAGGTCTGGCTGAAGCAAGGACGGTGTATAAAACCCAGGGAGGAGGACAGAAGAACAAATAGACACAACTATTAGACAAAAACACAGACTATCCCGGATGGTCTGGCAATCTATTTAACAAAAAGCTAAAAAAGTGAAAGAAAAAGAGACAAAAACAGCACACAAAAAATGTGACACAGAATCATCATAATAAAGAGATGATGCAATCAATTATTTTGGTTAAATCAAAATATTATGCTGTTTAAACCCTAAACATTAGGACAGAACATGGAAGAAATGAGCAACATTCAGTGGCAAGATGATTTAAAGTGCTGTAGATGATGAAAAATATACACTGTAGTGGCATAAAAGCAAGACAAAATAATTAGTGAGTAAAAGTGAGCAATTAAACTAAGATGATTACATGAATAAAATATAAAATGGTTTAAAAAATGGAATAAAGCTTAGACTAGAAAATTGAATAATAATATTTAGATAGCTTGGTTAAGGCCTTTAAATAAGAACAATTTTTAATCTCGATTTAAAGGAACTGAGGCTTTCAGCACTTTTACAGTTTTCAAGGATCATAAGAACTAAAAGCTGTTTCTCCGAGTGTGCAGGGTAGATTAGAGCCAGTGTCTGAAATATATTATGGAGCAGAGTCTTTTAAGTGATTTATAGACTAACAGGTGCTTTTCAAGTCTATTCCCAGAGATGTTGGGAGCCAGTTCAATAACTTTAGAACTGGGGTGATCTGCTCCACTTTCTTAGTTTATTGAGGATGCAGGCTGCAGCATTCTGATCAGCTAGAGCTGTCTGGTAGACTTTGCTTTTATTGATTCATCCAAAGTAAAAAACATGAATTAGTTTTTCAAAGTCCTGATGAAACATTAGTCGTTTAAACCTCAAGATGTTCTTATCAATCAAACATGTTTGATTTTCTCCCGACTTTATGATTCCTGGTCAGGAGGAGGTCGTGAGAGGCTGATCACCCCTTGTTACCCCCTGTACACTACAAGACGCACGATCAAGTCAGGCCGATCGGAAAATTCTTGCACGACTGGAAAGTTGGCCCGAAAAGGGCAAAAAATTGCAGTGTAAGCCCAGCTTAAAGCCGGGTTTACACTGTGCGATTTTTTTTTTAGGTGATAAAGGCCGACTTTGTGGCAGTCCATGAGCTTTTGAAGGTTCAGGTCTAACCTCAATAACCTCATGGTAGATCATTTCGTGATAAATAATTTTAAAAGTAAATTTAAAAGGAGAAAAAAAGGCAGAAAAATACACTAAGAGGGAAATAAACCAATGAAATGAGTGCCTTAAAGCATCTTAATAATCCTCAAGGTGCAGAAAATGTCCAAAGTATAACAAAAACATAAAAAAATAATCACTGAGTAGTAAGGGAACAAAGAGGGGAAAACCTTGAAAATTATGCATAATAACTCAATAATGATTAAAAATAATGCGGGCCAATTAATTGCATTTTCAATATAATCGCAATTTAGCAAAATGCTGTTTTCAATTTGCAGAGGCGTTCGATTTTACTCTCATGACAATGGGCTCTATGGACAACTTCACTGCTTCCTGGACTTAAGGCAGCTGCTTTGGTTCCCATCTTTCTCAACTGGATGAACTGATTAATGTGGCTGTGTCTTGCCATTGCTGTCATGGTTACTGAGGTCAGGCCCACGTGGATTTATTGGTTCATCTAGTAGAGAAAGACAATGCTACCAAGAAGTCTAATGCTGAGTTTGAATTCAGGGGCTTTGTCCTTACAAAGGCCACATTCGTCATCCGATTACGTCACAGCGTGGCGGCCGTTCGGATGAATGAAAATGCAGCCTTCTTTTTGCCCGTTTTGAAGTACAGGTCTGGTGTATCCTCCATAGCCTTGGGTATGCCGTCGGTTATTGTGAGTCCAAGCAAGCCGGCTGCTCCGTGCTCAGAGGAAAATGGGAAACAGTCATGAAAATTGTAAGTGCAGTTTAATATAATAAAGGGAATGCGAATAGTTCCATCTGAAATGAGTGAAAATAGTTGTCTTAAATGGTTATTGAGTCAGATATGTGGCGGGTAATGTTTGGTTTTATCTGTCCCTGTGCAAACGGGTTTGGTTGACATTTAATCCCAGATTCCAATATCTGCAGTGTGGGACCATAAATATGATGAACATGACGATGGTACAGCTGCTGAAGCTCCTTAATAAATGTTATTAGCATCCAGAACAGTAATGAGAAGTTCAGTTTATTCTTTGCCTGCTTTGTGTGTCAATTGTAACAGTTGCTTGGCAACAGAACGGTGGAATCTGGGATAGGCTTGGCCTGTTTGAATCCGTAGTTAAACTCTTCCGGTCTTCTTATTTTCACAAACCTAGAAAGACCCAGTCCAGGTAGACCGGGTCCTTGGAGGATGAAGGCTCTGAAATTAAATACACCCTATGTGACACAAACTGAAGGTGAGAAATCAGCCACAAGGGGGCACCAACCGCCTGTACACATCCTGTTTTCCTGCAGCTGTGGCTTCTAGCTCCTGCAGAAGCAGCTGGAACGATCAAACAGCTGAAGGTGTTTTGAACTGATTTAAAGCTTTGTTTCTCAGCCACATCCCATAACACAAAACGTCGCCTAGCAACAGCCATCAATGACAACCCAGCAGGGCCCCTGGGCAGCTGAAGTCACTGATGAGGAATTTACTGGCCTCTGGAACCTGCCTGACATGTCGAGAGCCAGGCTCTGATTGGCTGCAGGAGATGAGCTCAGCGTTCTAACCAGGCGTGTGGAAAAGAGCTGCATATGTTTATTCAAGCAGAACATTCAGTCGACCCGTGATGAGGTCAGCGACCTGATTCACCCCAACCCACCACAGCCCCCAGGTCCCGCCTCACCTGACCAGGTTCTCCTTGTAGGACACATTGGTCCTGCAGCCTGTCAGCGACACGTTGCCATCCTCGTCCAAGCAGAAGCTGTCCTCAGTGACGTCGTAGTAGCCGTTGGTGAGGAGGCGCGGAGAGCGGCGGCAGCAGCACGGGGCGCCGGCGTCCGAGGAGGAGTAACAGACGTAGGAGGAGTCGGGGGAGAGGAGGGAGGCATCCAGGCTGCAGGGGAGAGACGGCTTCAACTCAGAAAACACAACGAAGGATCTAAACTCAGAGAGGGAGCCTAATAAACTGATCAGAGAAAAACTCTTTGATTCCCGTTTCTGTGACAAAAAACACAGTTAATCTTCAGTGTTTTAATGGGACTCTGATCAACTGGAGCTTAAAGGTTTATTATGCAGAAAAAAAAGAATTTCAAAGAGTGATCAAATATACAAGCAGATGTTTGAGACTCAGAAAGCATCTTATTTCCTTCTGGACTCCAACATGTTTAATGTTAGACATGTTGAGAATGAGGACGATTGTTACCTCTGACAGGAGTGATTCCCACGAAGCCTTCGCTTTATAGGAGAACCTGAACAGAAGAGCTTCAGTGAGACTCAGAAACCAAACAGGTTTCTAAATAAAGACGGGCTTTAATCAGCAAAACATTCCTGCCAAACAGAGCTGGAGATAAAGGCCAAGCAGAACCGTCTCTTTAGGGTTTCAGTAACATTTAGCAGAAGCTGAACAGGTTTAATTAATTTTAGTCAGGGGAGATTTCTGTCCTATGAAAACATCTTTAAGAGCCATGAAGTCCTGAAGCTGTGAGGACGATCTCTGAGATTCTGACTGACATTTGAGTTTAGATCTACCTGCAGGTAAACTATGAGCATTTTAACAGAACAAACTTTAAGTCGTATCTTTAAATTCAACAAATAGCCACCAAGCTCCTCTGATAAAGACTCTTGGTGACAGTGGGAAGAAAATACCTTCTTTAGAAAAGGAAAAAAAAGTAAATACAGAAACAGCTCAAATTTCACATCCAAAATTATAGGGAATAAAATTTAGACATTAGTGTCATTAACATAACCACAGCTAATAAAGTTGCCTCGTAATTAATGCGTCCTGTTCTGCCTTCAGGCCGCAGAGCATTTTCTTGCTGGGAAGTTTAAGTTTGAGCTTTAGCTCTGGGAAATTATTAATTAATAAATTATTATTATTAAATAATAAATTCAGTTCTCTAAAAAGTTTAAAATTAAGTTCAAATCCTGACTGTAAGGCATGGAGGTGGCAGCATCATACTTAGGATGATGAGCAGCGTATAAAAGTTTGAGCCGGCAAGGGCTGCAGGGAACACAGCAGCTTTATTTCCTTCCATAGTTTGACTGAAGTGAAGTTTGTCAATTAATGATGGATAAAAAACCCTGACTGTAAAGCATGGGAGCGGCAGCATCATGAGGTGGGCCTGTTTTACAGAGGAAGAATATGCTATGATGGAAGGAGACATACTTGTTACGGCTCCAGAGAAGAATAGAGACATGTTTGTCTGCAGCGCCTCGTCTGTTGATCTGTGAAAGACACCAGAAACAAATCAAACAACAGATGCAACAGTTGGGTGGCTGGAACTAAATCCTCACAGGTTTAGGTTCTGCATGGAAACAGGAAACTGATCTTTAGTCAACTTTTAGAGCAGGGATTAAATCAGATTTTTGTTCAGAAATGTTAAATCTTTTGGTCAAAATAAAAAGTTTTGTTCAGCAGTCAGCTGTTGTTCTGCATGAAGCAGCAGAACCATCAGAAGTAAACCCTTTAAGTTCTGCTCTCCCCCTCTTAGAGTTTAGTTAATCTGATCAGTCCAAGAACCACAGGGATTAACAGAATCCAATCCAAACACGTTGCTGGAGCTTTTTAAGCCTGGATATTTATAAAGCTTTATTCTTACCTTCAGAGCGGTTCTGCTGCGGTTCTCTCACATCCTGCAGAGCGAAGCTGCAGCCTGAAGAGAAAAACAAGAAGGAGGCCGTGACTCTGAGCTCATGTTTCCTGTTAACTGTTTATCAGCCGAGGAGGAGGAACTCGTTTCCGACTGATCCCTTCAAGCTTCCATCAAACCCACTTGTATTCACTCTGACATCCTCAGTGACCGACCAGAACCTCTAGAACCCTCCTGCAGAGGATATGTGGGTGGAGTGAATCGAATATGACCTCTTGGCCTTTTTCTGAATTTTGAAAGACGCACACAGATCTGGATTCTGTGGTCGCTGTTAACCCTTTCATGGAAAGCCTAAAGATCCAGAAATCACAGACAACCTTCTAACTTTTCTATCCATATTAATTAATCAGATTTGGAAGCAGAACCGTTGATGTTGGGAAAGTGTTTGTGATTCCTAAAAGCTGAAATCTTTTCTTTATTTGAGTTTCTTTTTTTATTTCATTTCATGTGTTTGCTTTATAAAAGCAAATAATGTGCATTTATTAAAAAGCTTAGAGCCTAACTTCCCCAGATGATCAAACTAACTCATTTACATCAATAAAAAGAAAATAACAGAACAATCCGGCTCCGGGTTGCCAGCATTCAAAGATCCGACGTTCCTCAAACATTCCCAGTATCTCTGACCTTTCTGTTTGGTTCCACTCTCCTGGTACCAAGCTCCTCCTCCAGTACCACTCACAGCCCAGTAGTTCAGAACAGACATCAGTATTAAATGCAGCATCTCATCTTCTTTTCAGGACATTTATTTTAGAATAAAATTATAAATACTGCTCAGGAGAAATAAACAAATCCAGAATTTGAGTAGAATATATCAGTTTAGGTCTGACTGTCTGTGAGGGGCTGCAGCCGCCCAGCAGGAAACAATCTAAGGTCAAACAGTCATTCTACATGCATGGGGAAAACAGATTGATGTTTAAAAAGCTGAATAATAGATTAACCTGAAATTGTTTAAATGATCTTTAAAAAAGGGGTTTGTAACTTTTTTTTCATGCAGACCAAAAAGCTCAAGTTAAAAGTAAGAAGAAGTTAATATATTTAAATTGATTGATTGACTTTATTGATCTAACAGTAGAGAAATTGACTCATTACATCAGCTCAAATAGAGAGAGGATAAAGGAAGAAAAAGGTGCATGGGGTAGGTACAATGTATCCATATATATATACATATATATATATATATATATATATATAAAAACTTCTCCTCAACCATCGCGGGTGGTCTCCCCCCCCCTTTTTCCTCCAAGCTCGGGTCCTCTACCAGAGGCCTGGGAGCTTGAAGGTTCTGCACAGTATCTTTGCTGTTCCTAGAACTGCACTCTTTTGGATCGAGATGTCTGATGTATTTCCAGGGATCTGCTGTAACCACTCCTCCAGTTTGGGGGTCATTGCCCGGAGTCCCCCAATGACCTTTTTTTTTAAATATATATATGTACTGGTGAAGTGTCTTATATAGCAGGGTTAGTATGCAGGATTATTGCACAGGGTGTTTTTCAACTTATTGCTGTTGCATTGTCTCTTTGTAGAGTCTGGTGGCAGCAGGGATGAATTACCTGTGGTAGCGCTCCTTTTTACAAACTGGGTGTAAAAACAAATTCTGTAAAGTTCTTTTACATGCTCATCAGTGGGCTAAGAGTGCAAACCAATAACGTTAAAAAAAAAATTTGCATAGAATGTGTAAATTATTGTAGAATCAAATCTTTAAATGGGTTTTGCTTTAAAAGAAGAAAGGAATCTTGTGGGTGATCTCCACTGGACTAAGCTGAATGGAAGCTAGTATTTAGACAAGTTTACCAAATTAAAAGCAGTTCTATGTCCTCCAAGCATTTTGTAACAAAATTAACATTTTGTATTACAAGAGGTTCAAATTAGAAGCAGTCTCTGTCTGCATCAGACACATGGGGGCCAAATAGGATCCTATTAGCAGTCCAGGGGCCCCATTTCCCCCCAGCCACCACTTAAACTTTAATAATCATATATAGTCCCGTTTAAACTTAAAGTTTTAGCTGGGATGCAATTCCATTGCTTATAATCTGTTCTGCAAAATTTGGACCAGAACCACAGAAACCTCCAGAATCCATTTAAACTTCTGATCTCACTGATAAGATAGAAAGGAAGTCCATAAAACTCCACGATGTCACAACATGGAAGCAGTATTAATGAAGCAAGCTGTTGGAACAGAACCTTGTGACACATTTCACAACACGCAAACATGGCTGCCAACGGCGACTACAGCGAAAACAAGGAGGGAAAAATAAAAAGACTGCGTTCAGGAAATTTAAAAACAGAATAACACATCCATGCTTTTACTTCTGAATGTGAGAAAATATATGTTCATGTTTTTAAGGAAAGGCTGAAAAATGAATGTTTTCAGAAAGCTTTGTTTTTGCCATTTGCCATTAGAAAACTAGATGTAAATAAAGTTTGGAAATACAAACTTTCTCAAAACCGGAAATCCACTGAAACCAACTCCAGACTTTTTCACATTTTACAGAAATCCTGCTTAATTTGAGTTGGTAAATGAGATAGTTTGGCAATGGAATGAGTATTTTAACCCTAAAATAAGATAATTAGACAATATGCTCTGGAAATAAGAAAGCAATTGTTTTTCCCTATTTTAAATGTAAATTACCTTGTTCCATTGGCAAAGTGTCTCTCTTTCCTCCTCAATTCAAGAAAAAATTCACTTATTTCAAGAAAAAAAAATGACTTCTTTAGATTTTAATTTTTTGCAGGGAGGCGTGGCTGTTTTACCTCTCTTTTTTTTTCTGGGGGCACAGAGCAAAAGAACAACTAGACATTGAGCGCATTGTTTAGCATGTTAGATGAGCCACAAAGCCAAGGTTACAACCTGCTGATCTAACTGATGAAAACTATAATCCCATCATATCATTTTCATATTGTAAAGGCAAAATAACAAATTGGTCCATAAGAAATTGATTTAGTATTACACAGTTAAGTCTGATCTAAAAATGGAAATTCTTAAAATAGTTGTTCTAGCCTTTTATTTGAACAGATCAAAAAATATGACCAAGCAATGGAACGCATATTTTTACATTTGAAATAAGATATTTAGATATAAAATACTTGAAATAAGATAATAAGAGTTGTTTTATTATGTAAAAAAAAGTAAATATTCCATCTGCAAGTCTTACCTGCCTAATCAAATCAAAGGACTTTCTTTTTTAAGAAAAATTTAGTTTCACAGGACAAGTTCTACAGCGGCACTGTTGGTCCCCTCTAGCACACACACGTCCTCATTTACATAATGAGGCAGAAATGCATACAGAAATGTAAAAACAACAGGCAGAAATAAATAGCGTTGAAGAAATAAATTGGGTAAAAAAATATAAAGGAAGAATAAAACGGAGAAAAATATAACATTAACATAAATGAAAAAAAGTAATAAATAAAGATGATAACGGACAATAAATAAATAGGGTAATTATTATAAAGGCGCATAAATAAAACATTTAGAACTGTAAATTTACAGTCATATGTTTATATTACTGTTTTTATATATTTCTTCTTTCTATTTTTCAAGGCTGCACTTTTAAAAAGATGAAATTGTCCAGAGAGCTGTTCCAAACTAAATTTATTTTTGTTTTACACTAAATAACAAATAAATCTGTCTAAGTCTAAATAAAGGAGCTAATTAAAAGAGATATATACATTTATGTTTTACTGTATAATTTAATTTCTATCTACATTTATTTGTTTATAATGTTTTGGGGGGCAATTAATTGAATGCTTATTCATTTATTGAGCATTTATTTATTTCAGTATTTATTCTTAAATACGGCAGAGTTGGTCCTCCATATAGAACAACATAAAACCTTTATTTCCTTTTTCCTCCTGTTTTTTTTTTAGAGGAGTTCTGTTCTCTGTCCTGTTTTTGTTCAGGGGATAAAAACACGGATCATCTCATAGGAAATGAAAACTAAACAGAAGCGAGTCAGCCCCGTCCCACAAATACCCACCACTGAACTGACCCCATCGGTAGTTTCCCAGCATGCCTTGCAGCAGCATCGGTCTATAGGAGCTGCTCGGAGCTGCTCATTATGGATATCTATGGAGCTGCTGATGTTGGAGGAAAACGCGTAGCAGGAAACACAGAGATGGACCGAACCATTCCAGTTCCCACCACCCGAACCGTTAGAGATAGACCGAACCATTCCAGTTCCGACCACCCGAACCATCAGAACCAGAGTCCAATTAAAGGCTCAGCTCCAAACTTTTACAATAAATGCATAAAAAAAATCACAATTTACAGGTTTTAAATCAGCTTTTTGATGTTTAGACCCTCCCTGTTCTGACATCAGTTTATTTCATCCCCTTATCCATACAATACCATTTCATATCCATATTATATCCAACTCAGTGTTATTTCTTGCAGTTAAAAGCCATTTTTAACCACGCCATGACATTTTTTCCTTGATAAAATCTGCATGGCTTGTCATTTGTTATTTTGCTCTACTTGAATTAGAATGAAATAAATCACATGTATATAATACATATATAGGATACTATAAAATAGGCTATTAATGTTATTAGCATGAGTCTATGGTAGATTAAAGATTGGTGCCAATTCATATGTTTTTTCAAAATTATTTCAGCTACATTTGCTCTAGAAATCGAAACAAAGCGAAAATAACGGTACTCCGCTGAACTCACCGCTTTGTTTTTCTGCTCACTTTCTCACCGGAAGTTTAGAATAAACCCCTATTTCTTCTGTCGGGGTTTCCTCTCTTTGTTTCCTCTGGTTTCTATGATGTTTAACTTTGTTTAGGTTTCCTCAAACCGAGCAGAAGTCGCTCTCTGTCTAGCTGACAGCCTCGCCTCACAGGAAGCAGCAAATGCTGTCACTATGCAACGGAAATAAACGATGTAGCTTCCGGTCAGGCCCTTCAGAGTAAAACCAGAGAAGCGAGAGCATGTTACAGTTTTCACCAACAGTTTCCACCGTGGTCTTATAGGGTTTTTGTCACAAAGACACAATGAAAAACTTGCATTAGTCAACATAAGTTCCTGCACCAGTTTTAACTTAAGTCCATCATAAGGGACTCTGTGGACAGAGAAGTGTCCATTGTGAGGACATCCATCTACATTCTCATCAATGCTCTGCAGCTTACTGGTCTGATTTTATCACTGTGTTCAATCTATTAATTAATTATCTGGAAACAGCAATAACTAGAAAATAGGGGGGTCTCAAATATTTATTTAAAGGTTAACTAATGTGAAGTTAGGAAGCTGAGACAGAGGCATCTCTTGCAATAAGTAAGGTTCAAATTTATTTAACGTTCTCGGACAGAGAGATAGAGCTCTGTGGCATTTCACTACATACATTAATACCTTACAAAACCACTCACTTGAAGAGCGAAGCAAAACAACTTTAGTTCATCAGGGCCACTCCCTGTTAGGTTAATATATCTTTCAACAGTCATCCCCTTCATGCCATGAAGGAGGCTGTGTGATTCATTCTTATGTCTCATGACCTTCGTTTGGAGTCTGTGAGTCTAAGAACAGACATATCTCAACATTTTTTACTCCACACTAATTTGATCTATGAAGTTTTGTGAAAATCTTAAATAAACTGAATACAAAATATATCTACTCGTTAGAACCCAGTAATAAAAAACTGGTGAAAAACCCCCAAATATAACTCCCATGCCAACTTTAAATTAGTTATATTGAAGTTTCCTACAGTTTAACAAATTTGTCAAAGCCTAAACTCTATGAGAACCCCTTCAAATAAAAGGCTTTGAGAATAAGCCTTTATCCTAGAGGCTTATTTCTGTTTACCTTGAGAATAAGCAAAGCAAAAAGAAGGCATGCAATGCAGACTCCTTGATTCCTTGGATTGGGTTAGAGTCTGGAGAGACAGAAAAGAAATGCAATGGATCTAGAGAGGAGGGCATATCAGAGTGTGCAGTGTTCTAGAACTTTAGTGGGAAGTCAACAATGAGCTGAAAGACAAGCTTGAGTCGTACTCTGGTAAAATGAAAACAACAGTATGTAGAAAATCTAAACCAAAAGGAATTATTCATTGTTGCATTAATTAGGCTCATATTATTGTTATATCCCGAAGATGGATGTGATTTTGTTCTTGCATCCAATTTACACCTTGCTCTGTTTTAGGCTCCGCCTTTAAGACTGGACGCTGCTTCCTGAGTCTCAGCCTTAATAACATTGTTTGATCATCCAGTGGCTGGTAAGAGAGTGTTGTGATGATGGATGCTTGTTAAATGTTGAGGTTGGCTGCCAAATATGCTACAAGCAACAGTCCAAATAGGAGCTCAACTGGACAGCTCCACTGGAATTACACCCCTTATCTGTTCTCAGGGACCTTGGCTATTAACTAGTTTGTAGACAGTGTAGCAATAGTGGATGGATGGATATATAGATAGACTTCATCTCAAGCTGCAAAATTGGAGTGAATTCCGTGTGGTAACAAAAATTATATTAACACAATACAAACATATAACTGTTTGAAAAATACTTAAAGAGCAGACCACTTGCTTGTAGACAATTGACAGGATGTTTGACATATTGAACAGCTGCTAGATGCCAAAGGCTTCAAAGTCCCCTAAGGTCCGTTGAATTGGACAGTCTGATGATGGCAAATGGTTGCAGCTCATCGGTCAAATAGGCTTTAGGAAAAGTTTGAACATGTTTCTGACATCGGGATGGCTGGGTGATTTTAATGAAATAAACAATACAATAACAGATAGGCAACAATTAACAGATAAACTGATTGCACATAACCTGTGTGGTGTTTAAAATTAATTTTAATGCAACAAAGTTAATAAAAAAAAGAGATATTTACTTCATTTGTGTGGATGGGGATTAATCCAGTGTTATTGTGCAACATACACTATTGTTTTGCACTACTTGGTGAAATGTGAATTACTGATATATGGGATCTGTACAGTTATAGTACTAAAATAAGGAGCTTTAATGCAGTGCGTTTGGTACCATTTTCCCCATGGACTTCAGTGTGTGAATTAAAGCTAGGACATTAATGCAGAAAATTTACTGGCGCACAGCGCAGCTTTGACCTCTCCAATATGGCGGACACACAGCTACATATCAGAAGTGGGCCAGCCCACTCCAGGAGGCATCTGCATATATGTCTGCTCTAGTTAAATGCATCTCTGCATCTGATTGATGATCAACATTCATTTGGACATAGAAAGGGGGACACCTAGTGGACATAATGTATAATCACAGAGTTGAAGTGTTTGGAAAAAAAATATTTTATTCAAATGATAAAAATACAGAACACATAAAGAAACCAAATAAATATTTTGCATATTCTATAAGACACTTTTCTGATGGATTATCAGTTCAGATTTAAGCAGTAAAAACTGTTCCAGGTCCATCAGGAGGAGCAGAACCTCACTGAGGTCTGGGAGGGCCCGTCCTACCAGAGGGACTAGCCCAAAGGCCCAGCGGTGTGTTCGGTGGCGTGCATGTCACGTGTCATATTGGATTTCACCATGAGTTCGGCCTGCAGCAGTTGGTGCTGAACCACGCCTGTCCTCACGTCCATCTGGGTGATCTCCTGCTTCAGCTTAGTGAAGCTCTGCTTGATCTTCACCACGGGGCCTGTAGAGAAGAAGGGAGGAGGTCAGACATGATGGAGGGGGAAACAAGGACTTCTGACAGTTTACGTCTGCTTCACCTCCATCAGACATGCTGCGGCCCTTGTCTTCTATCTCTTGCTTTACCTTCTCCAGCTCCTCACTGATCTGAGACATTTAAACAGAGCAAGCTGTGTCAGTGTTTCCTGGAGCTACAGGGAAAGTGGCGATGTGTTCACTGACCTCTGCCAGGACTCTGGTTTTCTCTGTCACTCCTCCGCATGCCTGCTTGTAGAGCTCCTTTTCCTAATGGAGGACACACCCACTAATCAATCCAACTGAATCGTTGGAAGTTTGACATGTTTTGGTGTTTTTGCATTGGAGGTATGAGTCTGGGTTACCTCGCTGAGTTTGGCCTGAGCGTTGCGGTACTCCTGGATCAGGTTCTCCAGCTGGCGGTTGATGTATTTCTCTCTGCTGCTCACCTTCTCCAGAGTCTTCCCGATGTCTACCTGAAGATTGTCCAGATAGCTCTGCAGAGACAGAGAGGACACACACGCAGTGGACTGTCATGAAAGAAGATTAACCAAAATATTGAGGTCCCACACGTTTCAGCCTGTGACCCCAAAAACCGCCGCGGCACAGACTGGAGACGCAAAAAAATACATTTCACTCTATATTTCTATACAAATATACAATAAAGTAATCATTATTTTAAACACGTTTTATAAATTACTTGTGCTTTTTATGAAGTTAAAACCTTAATAGCTGAATCAATACAGACAAAATTTACGAACAAGTATAAAGATGTTGGATTATTCAGTTCAGATTTGAGCTTAGAAGGCGGAAAATGAGCACGTCATTGATCAAAGTTCTCTCAAAGATCCCGAGAATCTTTAGTTCACACATCCGTCCTTTAGAGCTCATGTTTGGGTTCTTTCAGAACATTAGAGTGTTCAAACATGACAAAAATAAAGAAGCGAAATTCCTGTGTAAAAACAAGAGCAGATCACATCCTGCTGACTGTTTTATGTTAGCCTAAACATTAGCATCGGGCTGCCTTCATTTGATTGGCTGTGACTTTTCTAGCTGGCCTCTTATTGGCTGTCTGTCTGCTTCAGGATCTATTTTTTAACGGTTTGGTTTTTAATCCTTAACTGGGCTGGAAGTTCATTACCTCCATCAGCATACATTCTAAGACTTCATCACTGATTATGGAGTCTTAGGCCATTTCTCAATATGTGTACTTGTGCATTCTCATGTGCTTGTGTACTCGTGAAACGTCATCAGCCTTAGCCCTACTACTGTTCCAAATCACAAGAACAAGAAGACTGAGAATGGACAAAGTCCCCGGATATTGTTCTCGCCCCTCCCTATTTAGCAAGTATGCATCAGAGCAGATTTGTCCGTTCTTGAGATAGACGGCTGTCCCAGCATGCACTGCGGCAGCTGTAGCTTCCAGGATAGTGCTCAGAGAATTAAAAGTTGTCTTTTCTGTTGCTGTTGTTCTATAACAGTATGTTTTAAGATCATTTAAGGCAAGACTATTATACTTTTAAGCATCCCTATATGGCCCTTTGACTGATTTACTGTGTAATAAAAAAACAAAAAAAGGTTGACTGTTGAGAGGACCGCGGCAACCAGCAGAGCTCCGAGGCTAATGGCAGCCAGGGCTAATTTTAGCCTGTCTGCAGCAGCCCTCTCTCAGCATAGCCGTGTGAGAAGTACAACTGACTCTGATGGCGATTTTTTAGTTTTATTTGGCTAAATGTTATTTTTATTTGTATTTATCTGACTGTTTTAATTATTATTCCCCCCACTAAATGAAAAAAGTCAGAATTTATTATTATCTATAGACTTTTACTAATAGGAGGTGATATGCAGCTCCAGACGAGCAGAGCATATGGTGATGTCACGAGTACGCTTCTGTTCCAATTGACCCATATTTATGCTGCATGCTCCCGTTCTCCCAGAGTTCACACTTTCCTGTGTTTTTCTCAAGAACATATCTGGCGAGGACACGAGTCCGTACTCATGTTCTTGTGAATTGAGAAACGGCCTTAGTTAATAAAGTCTTAGTTAATAAGGGCTGCAGGGTGGGGCAGTTTGTAGCACCTTCCTTGCATCAAGAAATTTCCTTGTTCGATTCCTGGCCGATGATTTCTAGAGTTTGCATGTTCTCTGGTACTCTGGATGCCTCCCTCAGCCCAAAAACATGACTGTTAAGTTAATAGGCTTCTCTAAAATTGTCATCAGGTGTGAGTGCGGGTCTGCATGGCTGTATGTCTTTTTGTGTCTCTGTGTTGCCCTGTGACAGACTGGCGATTTGTCCAGGGTGTACTCGACCATAGACTACCAGAGACAGGCACTGGCCCCACCACGTCCCTGAAGGAATAAGAAGATGGATGGCCTTTAATCAGGACTGATGCAATTTTGTGTTTCTTTGATTTTCTTTTTGGCTAGCTCCTCCTTTATTTGTAAGTAAAGGAGCTGAGAGAGCAGGAAGACAAGCAGCAAAGGTCCGCGGGGCCGGGACTCAAACCTAGGACGGCTCGTAAAATACATGAACCTCTCCCTCTGCACCACTGCACCCATAAATGACCTTGGTTCATTTCAGAAAGAGAAGAGGGAAAATAAAACCACAGAACTTGTTTGTTTTCTTGACAATAACAAAGTTAGAAGAATCTATCAGTAAAGGGACTCCCTTCTAAGGGGCTGAAGATACAGCTTTTCTCAGATGGAGTCTGCTTAGGAATGCAGTTGCTGGGATCATAGTCTGACTCTATACATAAGTTATTTTCTGTTAAATGAAAACCTAGAAATTATTTGAACAATGTCTGAAATGAAGTCTGTAGATGGACACAAAATGATCAAAGTTTAAGGAGCTTTTCAGTCCTGATTGATTCTGAGCTCCAAATTATTCCCAGAAAAAGAGCAAAATGGCAGTAACCCAACCAAAATTAAAACAGGCCCCTCTGCAGGGCTTTCCAGCAGCTGTATGAGTGTGTTTGAGTTGAATGGAGCAGAACCCTCCCTGGGATTAAATCCCCTCACCTCGGTCTCTTTGAGCGATGACTTGATCCCGTCTCTGTGTTGATGCATCTGGTCCAGATGGTTCCTCCAGTCCTGTAGGGGCCCAGCAGAGCAGGGTGTAAGTTACAAACATCCATAGAGGAGCTCAGGTGAGTTAAGGTCGGCGCTCACCTTGTTGTCTGCCCTGATGGTGACTTTGAGCTGCGGCAGAACTCTCTCCACCTCCAGCCGCCACTCTGCAGCGTCCACAGTGGACTCCAGGATCTCGTCCGGTTTGGAGCTCCTTTCTGCTTCCTGCTAGAACACAGGGTCAGTTTCAGTGGGAGAGAAGATGGCTCTGCCTGTCAGGAAGGGGACTCAGAACCCACTGAACCACTAAATTATTCAACATCTAATCAGTAAGCCATCGCCCTCTGATCTCACAGTGGGAGCTCTCCATAACTTCAGGGCCTCCAGGTCCATCAGGTTCTCCTCGTCATCGTCAGCTTCATCCTGGGGTCACATAAAAACCCAACAACCATCAACACATCTGATCCCAACCAACATCTGTTTAACTGAGCTGCAATAGACTAGAATGGAAGAATTTAAATAGGATGCTCTGGCTCCTCCAAATATTTTAAAGCATGCTACTAAAACAGAGACACCTACAATCATCTCCTCCTCCACTTTGCTAAGCGTGAGCTCCGCATCATCGTTGATCACAGACTCTTCCTCTTGGTTTTCTTCAGGATAGTTTGGTCTGAGAGAAACAGAAAAAATTAAACCTCTCTCCTATTTACAGCAGCCAGGAAAATCTTGACAGGCAGAACAGAGGAAGGAATTTGAAAGTACCTTCTAAAGGTGAAGCCTGTCTTCTTCAGCGCCTGATTGGCCAGATGGTCCAAAACTAAACAGACGTACTCGCCGGAACCAGACACCAGTTTGGAGGGTGGGAAGTCCACCTTAACACCCTGACAGAGACAGAGACGTTCATTAAGCTTAAGTTTTTGAAAGCTACCTCTTTATTTTATTCTAGTAGATCTAGTAGAAAGGTCCAACAAAACTTGTGCTTTCTTTGGTTCCTTATTTTCTGCACATACCAAACCCAGAAGTGTGACATCACTCCAGGATATTGGCTAGCCAACACAGAGGATATACACACTGAAACGGAGAGCAATACCGACAAAAAGACGTAGGAATTATCATCAAGTAGGGGTATTTCAACAGATGATGAACAGAATCCAGTCAATGAACAGGTCCTACAAATTTGAGCCTGATTCCTCATCAGAGGAGGAAAATAATGGGGAAGATGGAGCCAATGGGGATGACGAGGAGACGAGAACGAGATGGTGACTGGACATCGTCAGACTGTCGGAACAACGCGATTAAGCTTTTGAACCTAAGCCCCATACATCTCAGCTGATATATGCTCACCTTCAGCTATTTATAGATACCATTGTGGCCTTACCATCTATTGCTAATAATATTAATGCTCATAACATGTATTAACCAAACAGTTGTGGACCATCTACAGTATGCATTTAAGACCCCATGCCATAACACCAGAGCAGGAATCACACCAGCTACACTGACTGCAGTTCATACAGAAGTTGTATCAACTTTTGTCACAGTACCTCAAAAATTTAAAAAATATCCCACATTTGACCGGATCAGATTATGAAATCTTTTTATAAAAAAAGATGGACAATTAAAAATAAAATAAAAATTATAATATCCTTAAAGAAGATTGTTTGCAAAATTAAACCGGGTGAAACTAAAATGTTTTTCACTTGAGAACTCCTGGATAGAGAATATGGACAAATAAATCTTAAGTGCAAAATGCTTTTATTAATTTCTTTTTCTTTTTTTTTTCTTTTTTACTGTCAGCTAAAGACATGTTTTAGAGTCTCTATACTCCAGTCAATGATTAATCAATTACTAAATTAGTTGATGATTATTTCAATAATCAGTTAATCACAATTAATCAGATTAATTGTTTCAGCCCGAGTAAATATGATCTTCTAAATCTTAAAGGTGCAATAGCTGCTGCTCCTCTAAGGAGTAGTGATGGATTAATGAGGCATCTTGAAGCGTTTTGACACATTGCCAAAATATTGATACTGCGCTGATACTGTCTCACAGAATACTGACACCTGCTGGACATTTAAAGACACTACAGGCAGCTTATTTGATACACTAAACTGAATTGATTTGATGACGTACTTTACCATGATATAATTTAAGTAATTGTAGGTTATATTGTATTATTTCATATTTATGTTTAAATTAATCATATTTTTTATATTTTTAGATGCAGCCAATATATAATGTAAACATATATCATAACGTGAAAATTTAGGGTGAAAATGTGAATGAGAATGCTTATGGACTAGGATTTTAAATCATATTTCTAAAACAATAAGTACAGTAAAACAGTAAATAAAATGAAAGTCAATTTGAAATTAACCTTAACTCACACAGTTAAGTGATAACTGAGAGGAAAAGTATGACACAATGAGAAAATGTCAATAAAAACACAATGTTCCTATTCCTTTTAGGCTGCTCCAAAATTCTTTATGATTTTAATGATAAAGCTCAAAAGATGAGTGATTTTTTTTTAGCATATGCATCATGTTGACAGATACGATTTCAAACACAATTTAGTGTGCCAGTCAGTTAGAAACAACCACTGTATCAGTCAACACAGGACCTCCTTTGCAAAAACTGTTGGCAGAATATTTTACCAAATGAGATTATAATGTGCACAAGCATTCCAAAGTCTGAACATCTGACAAATAAAAGGTTTTTTGTTGTTGTTGCCCTTTTAAAAAAAATCAAAGCAGGTTTGCACTGATTGGTGTTTCAGTGTGTGAACGAATCGTGATGTATGTGCGTTTGAAATGATTAATATCTGCAAGTTTATTTTCTTAAAATTGGCGTATCCCAGAGGGAATCTTAATTATCATGTATAAAATGTTTTTGTATGATAGATTTTAGCATATGTGTTTGCTGCTCCTGTCTCTTTAATTTAAATATAGAAATCCTTTTAACATCAACCTGTCCTGGGACTACAGGTGGAAATTAGCAATCAGACGCCACAATGCAACACTACAACGGCAATAGATTGTGCAATATTTAATGTGCAATTACTATTTAATACTAGTTTTTTTTTTTTTTATACACAGTGCAATAGCTATATAATTATAAATACCCATGTTAATATCCTGTGCAATAACCTTGTTTAATAATCCTGCTAAAGAGGAGACTTCAAAATTCTCCACTATGAGAGCAATAAAGTCAATTAATCAGTTTTGCTATAACCTTGCACCATGCATGTTTCCTGTTTTTATTAGGTGAATGTAGGGTTGCCCACTTTCCTTATTTAAAATAAATGAAGGGTTAAGGGTATTTATTTCTGAATTAATATGATGATTTATCGATTTAAGTTTACCATTAGAGAAATTCTGGTAATCTATTTTAGAGAGTTATGGTATCAAATAAAAAATGTATATTTAGTAAAGATGAAACAAATAGGTAAGAGAAAAGCTGAAAGATTAATATTTAGTTTGAAAACAAATTAACTAGTAATTTTAAAGCTGTTTTGCTGTGATAGACACAAAAGCAACAGCAAACCATCTTTGTTTCTTTTTTGTGAAGCTTCAACTCACAAAAGCCCGGAGTTCTGCCAGGATGTTAGACACGTTGGCGTAGGGCTCATCGTACTCCTGAGGTTCTGGGAAAGGCCTTCCCGCAACGTTGATGAGCCAGGCAGCGATGATGGTGAACATGTAGAACTGCTCGCCAGGGTTGGATGGCAGGTAGGGACTGGAGACAAAGTAATGTCTAAAGAGGAGAGAAGGAGGAAGAGAGGAGCCATAAGCAGAATGTTTAGTGTGAAGGTTGAAAAGCTCAGGTTAGGCAACTGGACGTTAAGTTTTCTAGAAGGAAACTTTAGTGTGAAGCTGCTCAGATTTTCTTTGAATAAACAGAACTGGAACTTCAAATCAATATTATAAGAAGATCATGAACAGCATTCCTGTAAATTGTTCTTATGGAGCTCATTAATCTCAGTCTAACTGATCAACACAAACAAACTCACCTTCTTGGATGAATTATACTGTGGATCAGTCTTTGATTAGTCTCTCAGTGTTTTAGATTTTTTTTAAAGAAGAAGGACGTTTCTATTCTCTCTCAGATTGGTTAGGACTTGTTCTAATTCAGACAATTACCTTTACATCTTTATTAACTTGTCTTTGTCTTTTTTAGCTCTGATCCAATGAAGTTTTAAATCTATGAAATCTTCCATTTCCACCGTTATGAAAACTAATCCAGCCACTTTCATCGATCTTGAAAAGAAAACATGTCACCAAAAGAAGACTATAAAATTTAATTTAATCGACTTTCCTTGTTTCCCTCTTTTACACATGAAATCTGCTCATTTATTTCGAACCTAAAAAAAACCCTTTATGCCTCCATGTGGTGTTCGGGTCTCACCTGGTCAGGTTCTTCATGTTGTGTTTCACTAGAACTTCCTCCTCATAGTTCAGCAGCTTCAGTTTATCCAGAAGGTTCTCCATCAACACAAACTCCTGGTAAGCCGCTCCGGGCCCACGGTCCTCCTCCTCTCCACGTCTTCCACCCTCCGCCATCCGGCACACTGACGATTAATAAAAATAATTGCGATTCTAGGAACAGAAACTGCTAAATGGAGGCAGAGGTATCCGTCCGCGGCCTCACAGATGCTCGCCCTACACGTTGCCAGGGGAACAGGGAGCTAAACGACGCTTGCTAGCCCCGGATGTAGCTCATCTTAGCTTCTATCTAACGATTTCAGACCAACTTTAAAAATATATAAAATAGCTGTATACTGAAACCGGTTTAATGTCTAAATTGTATAGATGTAGTGCTAATATTAAAATAATAACCACAAATTTAACCACTTTGAACAAGCGGAGAAGCTACGCCGTCCTTTACATCTTCTTCTTCCTCTCGGTTTACATGGAGATTGCGAACATGAATGTCACACCGCCATCTAGTGGAGCATCACTCCACTATCCTTCATCTTCTTCCCCCTCGTTAGATTCCTCTTCTTTTTGGATTCATTGGCGTTTGGCAACGAACATTTAGTAGCATTACCGCCACTTACTGGTATGGAGTGTGGTTCGTGATAGAATATCTACTAATAAACATATAATTTCAAAGGAAAAAAAATATATATATATATCCATAAAAAAACAACATACTTATTCATAACTTTGCATTCTGCTTGTCTATATCATAAACACATTCACTCTCCCTATAATCCAATTGTATGAAATATATTTTTTTAAAGTTTTCTTTAAAAATCAAATAACTATTTGTAAATGCTTACTCCCCAAATTCTTCCTCAAAATATCTAATAAATTAATCTTTTCCTTAATTCATTCAAACTCTCCCCTCATATATCTTCTCTGGCTTTCATATTTATGACATTCCAGTATAACATGTATTATTGTTTCATATTTTCCATAGTAATCACATTTGCCAGTAGTATGCTTTTGAATTTTGAAAAGTGTATAATTAAGTCCTGTATGCCCGAATCTGAACCTTGTTATCACTCTCTCCTCCTTTCTATTTCATCTTCCATTTGTTCTTTTTCCTACAATCTTCTGAATTTTATAAAACCATCTTCCTGTTTTCCTTCATCCCACCTTTTTTTTGTGCCATATTCCATCAGGTTTTCTTTAATAATACTCTTTCCCTCCGATTTACTTGTTTTAACTGTAAA